AGCATAGGGTGAATAGCAGTCCATGTACTATATGGTCTAAGAAAAAACCTTAATACATTTTTGCTCTAAAATAATTTTTTGGGGAACCAATAATTGCATGTTATAAATTTTACATTGAAATCCCTATAATGCGTTATGCAAGTCACCACCCTTTATTATGCACCCCAATTTAGTTAATTTGAAATTTAGTGCTAAACATAAAATATTTTAGTTAAGCGACAACAGTTTCAAATTACCTATGAACATTTGGAGAAGGGCGTACTCTGCGTTGCAGGTATAATCCACATCCCTTGCTAAAGGAACATTACATTGCTTTATTTCATCAGAGATGGGACAGAACCTTCTTGTGGTCAATGTAACATGTGTAATTTAATAAATACATTATTCATCTTATAATTCATTGTCCATCAACCACTATGTAAGCACTGTATAACAGTTTCTCTCTTGCAATACTTCAAACAGGTATACGGAACCTTTACCTGAAATTTTAATATAACTCTGGCCAGGAAAGATTGCCGGTCACAGAAAACTTGATCCCGATCTACAATCTCTGTCTTTCGTAAGGGGCTAGCAACTTCCGGGATAGTATCGTGTCAATGTTGAACGAAAAGACTTTTTGTTCAACATTAGCACGATCCTATTCCAGAAGTCGCTCGCATCTTAATAAAAACAAAGATTGTAAATCGACACAAGGTGCGCTGTGACCGGCAATCTTTCCTGGCGAGAGTTATATAGGTAACACCTCGGGTAATTCAGAACCTTGTTTGTCTTGCTGTATAATAACCTGAAGTTGTACCTACTAGTAACTTGAACAATAGGGCAGCTCATCATAAATTATCTTCCCCACTTGTATAACAAGAGATTTACTTACACAGGAGGGTAACAAGGGCTTTTACTTATCAATGTTCATGTCAATGACAATGTCTTTGTAAATAAAACCATTATTACACTCCAACAACTACGTATCTGATCTTAAGCATAGGTAGGTACATTACTAGTTACCTATAATAAATACTTACATAAGAAAGTGAACGGGAAATATCAGCAAACGTACACCTACCTAACTGAACAAAATTTCTATCAATGACATTTCAGAAAGTTGTTCACTTCTTATTTATGAAATTCTAATCAGAAACTTGAAACCCAGATAACTATTTGCAGTAATCTGGATGTAAACACCTACAAGAAAACGTAATGTATAATGCACTACTCTCTGTAATTAAATAAATGAATGTTTTTAATTTTGAATAGTATGACACACTTACTAGATATTCTTTCTTCATACATCTTTGCTTTTACTCCTTGTCTTGTGTAGCTAAAAATTTGTTACATAAAGTATCTTCATTTCAATTTTGTTTAAGATATGTGGGTTTGCTTATATGCAGTTCCATATATCTATAAATTATGATAAAAAGATATTTATTCTCGTTTCTTGCATGCATATAAATACCCTAAGTATAGAGAAAAATGAACAATTTATGCAGGTTTTCTTTCTACCGATTTCAAACAAACAAACCTACAAACAACACCGACACTCGATAGTGTAGTTCACAGACCATCAACGGTATTATAAATTCAATGGTTGAATGTTGAACTATATACATACTACACTCGCAGATAATTTGTAGCGTGACTCTTTACTATGAGAAATGTAAAATTAGAACCTACGACCTACAGTCTGCTTGGTGTCGCACTCATCTAGCTTTATGACGTAAAGTCACTAGTGACTTTAATAAGATTTTATAAAGGGATTAACCATCATATAATAGCTATTTATGTATCAAGTACATAAACTGAGTCTTTATGAACGAGCCGTTTATTTAGCCGAGCGTACATGCGAGCGAGACACAAATAAACAAGGCGAGTCCCCATAAAGCCTACTTATGGACGCGATATATACAAAGCCTTATGTATGACTGCAACAACCCTTAAAAATGAAAATTTCATGGAATTCAATAAACGATAAAATCTATATACCTATCATTGACAACAGATGTCAAGCATTTGTCAAGTAGGTATTTTTAAAATACTTGAATTTACCCTTACCTTGGATTGACACCTAAGTACGACTGTCACATTGACAGGCGGCCGTTTTACTTTATCATTATGGACTAGGCCATAATATTGCAAATCATGGCTACTAATTGCGACTGTAATCACTGCATTATCAAGCAGTCGTACATAAAATCATTGTGTGAATAAACAAATTTCATTTATTCTTGTTCCACATTCCACCTAAGCTAAGTGACTAATTACTAAGCAGGGGTTAGAACCGTTCCGTACTACTTAAGTAGAATTATTTTGTAAGGGTACCGGTACCGGTTCCAGTAGTGTGGCTTCAGTAATTTGCGGTTCCGGTTCTAGCTTTTTTTTCAGTTTTTAAGGGTTCCAACATAAATAAATAAAACCATTATTAAACAATATAAATTATTATTAATTATAGGAAAAAAATAATACACAAAATTAAAGTAGGTACATTATTCTTTTGTATAAACATATTTTTTAGGTTTAATTAAAACTTTTTATAGCTTACGTGTTCATTTCACCTCTGTCGCTGCCTGTCTTTTAAGCGTATATTTTAAGAATAAAATAAAAAAAACTATTGTTTGCGTTTTGTCCGTCCGTCCGTCCGCCCGCCCGTCCATCCGTTCGGGCCCACTTCTATCGTTTTGAACTGCTTCTAGGGGAATGGTCCTAGAGTCCTGGAATTTTTTGCAGTAGGTAGCCTATACTTTGAAGGTGTTAAAAGGTTGTTAAAAATTAATTTTATCTCTCATTGTATTCTAATTAAAAGAACCGTTTTCTACCAACTACTGCCTTTTTTCTGTCCTCTTATCAAAGTTGTGGGCGGCGAGGGGGGGGGAGGGAGTGGAACTAGTTTTATCCTTCATGGTACTCTAATGAAAGATCTCAACGAATGGAATTAATTTCTACCAACCATAGCCCTCCTCCTCGACCTCTTATCGTGATCGGGTATATTCCCTTATACTTCAAGAACGGATTGTCTTGTCACAAAGGGCGATTGAGACGCCTGCAAGAAATTAAGTATATCCATTGGTGAAGTTAAAACAAAAGCTATTTCGGTAAAAAAAATTCACAGATTTCGCAATCCTTGCAACCATCCGAGACATTGCAAATGATAACCGTATAACCTATAAAGTCATAAATAACCCTTCACACGGAATAATCTTGCTCCACTCGCTCGCAAGCTCGCTCGTGTCGCAAACGTAGACTTTCTGAATAATCATCGGCGTAACATGCTTGTAATACTATCACGGGCGATTTGCGAGAATTTTCAATTCGAATTAACAAAACCCCTGCGCACTGTTAAGTAAGTACCGTATCGACAGTATCCGCGAATTTTCCTGAATCTACCGATTTGCAGTCGAGTACGGTACAATCAACACTAGACGCGACACCACTGTCTTTTTTTCTACTCTGCAAACCTGGTCATTCATACCCATACCTACAAAACATAAGCATTTCCAATGCTAAAAATGCGCTTTATCTGCACAAGAGTTGTGCACAATTTATACCTACTTGTTTACTTTTAGTAGTAGTTTCAGCTATTCCTTTTTCTATACTGTCCTTTTCTTCAGCGGTAGTTTCAACTATTGCTTTTCTCACACACTCTTCAACCTTTTTACTGTTTTTGAGCCATTTTTGGTATTAGTTACTCAAACATATTTTATATTGGTTTAGTAATAAGAGTAGAAATTAGGATGGCAGCTCTGTAACAGTTTTGATTTTCGTATTATGAAATTTATTGTAAATTTTACAATTCTGAACATAATTTACAAAAAGGCGAGATTTTATTCTTGACAATTAAAGTCCATAAAGGATTAGTCACCGGCCATAAGGATTGAAAGCGGATGCTTTCCAGGAAGTATGATATGCTGAGTCTAAAATTCTCTAGAAGCTTGGTTTGTTATTATTACGGGTATCTTAAATTGAGTAGGATAGGATAACATGGCTACCTTTGATATTTTAAGCGGCAAAGCAAAGCGATGCAAGCTTTATATTATAGTGGAGTCGATGGTGTCCGTCTGTCCGTGAACACGATAACTGTCAAACGCTTGGACCGATTTGGTTCAAACTTCGCGCAGTTGACCTATATGCCACAAGTAATATGCCTATTGAAAATGGATCAAATCCAATGACCTCTTTGGGGTCACGCTTCTCTGTCCCTGCATACAGTAAAAAACGTACATACATGTTTTATACATGATTAAAAAGCTTACATTTTCAAGATTTTTTAACAACTTAGTAAAGTTCAATGTGAGCTCCGTTAGTTAGTTAGTCCAGACGACACTGACTGCCTGCCGCCATATATATATATATGCCTGCCGCAGCCGTTACGTCATTTCACGGTCAACGCTCCGCAGCGCTGCCAACTGTTGAGAGAAACATTCCCAATTCGTATGAGTAAAACTCTTTGAGCTGCTTGTTTCAAAGGAATTGATCAAATTTTGCTATCTTTTATAGTTTAAAAAATATTAATTTTTTAAACCCCGGAGTTCTTTTATAGACTCCCTGTATAATCAGATGTCTAGTCAGTTTTCAACAAACAGTGTACACAAAAAAGTATCTACAGAGTACATTTTAACAATATAATTAAGGAATATCCCCACGACGTAATTATATACACTGATGGTTCGAAAACGGAGAATGGAGTGGGAAGTGCCATATATGTAAATGGAGAAGGGTTTCACTGGCGGCTTAATACGGCACATACGGCGGAACTATATGGATTGTGGCAAGCGTTACAATACATATATTCGACACAATGTCATTAAAACAGCCTTGATATGCACAGACTCTTTAAGCATAGTGAGTTCATTAAATAAAAAAGTAACTTCGAACAACGCATTAGAGAATATAATATTAGCATTATTATATGATGTCTGCAATAAAAGTAATAAAACGGTAGTGATAATATGGGCACCTGGGCATGTAGGTATTGCCGGTGATGAAGAGGCCGATAGACCGAGAGCCCGCGTAGAAAATACATCGTCATGGGTACAAAAGGTTTGATGTAACCAAGCAGTAGAATGTCACCGTGCGATTCCAAAATCGCCCGTCTGCCGGCCGGCGGCGGTCAACTTAGCGCGGGGGCGAATTTTGAAAACTGTTCCAAATCACATAATACATCGTCATTGGTACACGTATGATTTTTTGCAATCTGATCCGGAAATATGTACAAAATTCGTAGTTGCAACGGCAGACGTTGTATCTGGGCAACTTTTCCGAGCAGACGCGATTAAAAACATTAAAAAATTATTAAATACCTCGTCATAAGGTACACGCTCGAATTATAGCTTAAAATAAAGCTCTTTGAATGTAGAATTTGGGAAAACTAACGAAAACGCGGCAGACGGTCGTATAACTATAGCAGACGCCTTTGAAATTTATAGCTCGATCTGCGTTTAACGCATTACTCCCCGTGCGATAAAGCGAGAGCGCTGTCACACAAGCACGCTCTGTCGTATAGGTACTTGCAAAAACGGAACTACAGCTGAAAGTAGGTAAAATGTAGGCATGCCACAAATAATGGGATTTATGAAATTTTCTCAACTGTCACAAAACATGACCAAAAATATGAAAACATATATTTCTACACTAGGTATACATGTAGGTAAATGCAGTATTAATATGTAAATAACGACTAACACAAGCTACAAAACGTTATATAAAAAAGTGTTTGGGAATTGGAATGCAAATATAGAATATAGAAAACGAATCTCATCACCAAAACTAGCAACAAAACAACAAAAAAGAAGAAAATTCATATCTGGGATAGGTATTCTGAAAGATAAATATAGTTCCTATTAATACTGTAATACACATGTATTTGGGAATACATCATATTATCGGCTTCACTCGTCTTCATCACTGGAGGATATATACAATCTTTCATCTTCCGGTATATATTCGGCAGCGGATGTGTCATTAGTTATGCATATTTCTTCCAGAGTTGAAGGCGTTTGTGGACCTACAAACCACTGAGGATACAATTTGTCATCGAGCAGCACCCAGCCGTGTTCTGTAGGATTGTAGAAACTGATATTCGCGTTGCACTGCACCACAGAGCACAGATTTGGTTAACACGTTTTATTTTACAGTGCAAAACATCTCTGCAAGGAGGCAGTAGACTGCCATCAAACTTTTTGAGACTGTCTAATGGATTAGTATGTTCATGTTTTGGTTTGTAATGATTTAATAATGTGTCAAATCTGGCTTCATTAATATTTTCATAATTGGGTTGATTATACATTTTGCATAAGAAATGTTCAATGCCGCTTATTTGTTCACTGGTCAGTTCCGGTGCATGTATTAATGAAGCCAGATTTGACACATTATTAAATCATTACAAACCAAAACATGAACATACTAGTCCATTAGACAGTCTCAAAAAGTTTGATGGAAGTCTACTGCCGCCTTGCAAAGATGTTTTGCACTGTAAAATAACCAAATCTGTGCTCTGTGGTGCAGTGCAACGCGAATACGGAATATCACCAAGTTTCTACAATCCTACAGAACACGGCTGGGTGCTGCTCGATGACAAATTGTATCCTCAGTGGTTTGAAGGTCCACAAACGCCTTCAACTCTGGAAGAAATATGCATAACTAATGACACATCCGATGCCGAATATATACCGGAAGATGAAAGATTGTATATATCCTCCAGTGATAAAGACGAGTGAAGCCGATAATATGATGTAAGTATTCCCAAATACATGTGTATTACAGTATTAATAGGAACTATATTTATTTTTCAGAATACCTATCCCAGATATGAATTTTCTTCTTTTTTGTTGTTTTGTTGCTAGTTTTGGTGATGAGATAAGTATTCGTTTTCTATATTCTATATTTGCATTCCAATTCCAAACACTTTTTTATATAACGTTTTGTAGCTTGTGTTAGTCGTTATTTACATATTAATACTGCATTTACCTACATGTATACCTAGTGTAGAAATATATGTTTTAATATTTTTGGTCATGTTTTGTGACAGTTGAGAAAATTTCATAAATCCCATTATTTGTGCATGCCTACATTTTACCTACTTTCAGCTGTAGTTCCGTTTTTGCAAGTACCTATACGACAGAGCGTGCTTGTGTGACAGCGCTCTCGCTTTATCGCACGGGGAGTAATGCGTTAAACGCAGATCGAGCTATAAATTTCAAAGGCGTCTGCTATAGTTATGCGACCGTCTGCCGCGTTTTCGTTAGTTTTCCCAAATTCTACATTCAAAGAGCTTTATTTTAAGCTATAATTCGAGCGTGTACCTTATGACGAGGTATTTAATAATTTTTTTCACTACTAGCGTCTGATGACATGATTATTAACCTTTTTTCCACTTGTAAAGTAGGTTTTCTCGGCATTTGTTCAAAGTGGTTAATAATTTTTTATTATTAACTAGTAGTCAATAATGAGAACTGTCACGCTGTCACTTTTAGAAAACACAACCCGAAATTTCGCTCAATAAACGTTTGGACAAGTTCTCTAAAACGAATAATTGCCACCATTCGCAATTTCCAGAGAAATTACATACCTAAAATTATCACATTTTGAACAAATTCGAACGAAATTACTCTTTGAAAAATCTCAATGACAGAACAAAATACGGCCTGTTTGACTTGTACTTCCACGTACTTGATTGTCATGTTAAATTAATAAACAAAAAATTCTGTCCAACCGTTCACTTTCTTATCAATATAATATGTTAATTTAGAGTATTTCAAGTGCTAGTAGTGAAAAAAATAGTATATATACCACGGTAGAGAAGTCTATTATTGCCTTCGCACCTTACACCCCTCGGCGCAAGCGCCTCGAGATGTAATCTTGGTGCTCAGGCAATAATACTGTACTTCTCTACCTTGATATATAATGTACTATTATTTAATTATGGAATAACTATCAAATCTACGGTGATCGGGTTTGTCATATTGTTTTGTTATCAAAAGAAGTGACCAAATACGGATTTTCAAAAAGATCGGATGAATTTTACTTAGTATAATAACCAATTGATCATCTTCGGGATTGCTTTTTTATATTTTTCCATAAAAAAAACAAGAACATTTGAAGATGAACGTTTCATAGCCATTGTATCTTATAGAAAATTCAATTCTAAACCAATTCATTTCTCTTCATTTTTTCCCTTAGAGTAAAAGTTAACGAGATAATTGAAGTCAAATGCGAAAAGAAACGACATCTTGGCATTTTTTCATCGTTTTTTGTTTATACATAACAATATATTCCGGGAGTTTTCGGCTAGGGGGACTATAGTTTTCGGATTCAGCGGATCTTTTTACATAGAAGACACTTGATTTCGTTGAGTGAAATGACAACAACCAGCTCAATCTGCCCAAAATGTAATTTGACTGCACTAAGTACTTTATGAATATTGACACAACAAATGCGATCGCGTGGCATTTGACGTCACTTTCATTCGTCCAATAGTGAAGCGTTTCGCAAATTTGAATTTCGTTCGCTTATTTTCCACTTTTGAATTAACATTTTTTGCAATTAAAAACAAACTAAACAAGAAACTAATGGTTTAAGTATATGTCAGGACAATAAATATGTGCTGGAGAAAGAATCAAGCAAATTTAAACCACATGCATATTCCCTATTGTCGCATCAATTTAATGAACGTATAGAAAAAAAAATACGCGTTCGGATTTGAACCTGGGTTGTCGCGATGTAAGCCAAGGCACAGATAAAATACCCAATTTGGGTATTTTATCTGTGGCCAAGGTTACAGTGACTTTATAAGGACAGTGGCGACAACTTATCATAATCCGCCATATTGGAGCTAAAAAATTGATTGTAAGATCAATATACCTTGTCATGTCAAATTGTGAGCGTAGAATAATAAATGTCAGTTTCATTTAAGTAAAGATTCTTGTTCAAAACGAACGGCGCAGAAATGATCGTTTAAAGCTTTGCAGAACAACCTATGGGAAAACAAATGCCTCCCAAATTCAAAAAGGTATGGGTATATGGAAAACGGTATAATAAGTATGAAATATGGTGCAATATCCAAAATGTACATATAAATAATCATTAAATTGTGTTTGACATTTCAGTGTCTTCTGTCACTTCTTGTCCCCTGTCGCGTGTTGCTCCTTCCGGACTTAAAAGTATTTCTTTAGTCTCTTAAATGGAAGACAAAACACGTTGATCTAGTCCACGGAGTACAAGAGATCAATATTCCATGTGCTCCAGCAAACATGAAACCAATTCAAACGTATTTACGATCACAATTGAATTTGCTGCTAAATTTCGGATAAGCTGCTTCTCTAACCAGTTTTCTATCTAAACTCATTAGGTATTTAGGGCTTCTGAAAAAAATTTTACATCAATTACCAGTCGTAAGGTTAGGCACAGTTTTACATCTAAAAACACTAAGCGAATTACATACCTTATAATATCGTAATAAATCCAAACTATATGCGTCTTTAAAAATCGAGTTTATATAAAACTGGAGACGGAAAACGTAAAATAAAGCAAATACAAGAAGCAAAGTGTAAACTAGTAACATGAAGCCGTGACAATTACAGGTGACACTGTCAAAACAGTATAATTAATAATTATAGCACGGAGTGCACCGCGTCGTTTTGAAGGTTTTCTATTGGCCAGTTTGGAATTTAGCTGCAATATGGCGACCGGAACCAACGACCAATCAAAAACGAGATACCCTGTTGTCGCCACTGTCTCTATAAAGTCACTGTAGCCAAGGTGAACGATTATACCATCTGCGCCAACGCGATAGATACTTATACCGATATAAGCAGTTCCACATAGTCTTGACAGCGTCCCTACATCCATACGCCACCTAGCAGCTAAGCGAAGGACTACGAGTTTGGCGACACGTAAGAGTGTCATCGCAAACAACCGAGTTTCCAGGTCCTGTGTATACGACCGTGTATATAATATATCTATGGCTTTGCATTTTTAGTACACAGCGCTATCTATCTTCAAGAGACTGTCGTTAACCAAGTAACTACACTTTACGATGTTAATTATTTACTAATTATGTTATAAAATTAGGTGACATCCCGTTTCCTACTATTTTCTTGTATTGTTCGTCTGTGATTTTAATTTAGCTTTTGTCGTAATGTTAAACGTATTGTTTTGCCTGGTTTACATTCATCAACTTTAAGCCAACACAACAGCAGTTAGGTAAACCAGTTCCTGTTCCTCAAAAATGAAAGTCATAACATCCGTCTTTTCGGTGTAATTTTGTAGGATTTAAACCTTATCAGTAAGTATCACCTTTACTCAATTATATAACGACACCGAATATAAAAATCAATGAATTGCTTGGAAAGCCTAATTTCTTGTTCACCTTAAAGTGCAAACATATGCCAAGTAATATCCTTATTTGCTTGTATTTAGAAAGTGCAGTAAATGAAATTTAATGTAAGTTTGACTTCAATGTTACGGTTTTCCAGTATTATAGTTTTTAAAATGAAATTATTTTGCGATAAGAACAACTTTGACATTTAAGATTGAGGTTATGTTATTTGCCATTTTTTAATGTTGACGTGTTATTGTTGTGAAGCAATTAAAGGGATAATGCTTTGTAGCTGCAAAGATGTCATGGTTAAAAAAACGTGGGCAAACAGCCAGCCCCAATCCTTTAGCTGCACCACCTGTTCAAATGTACAACCCGAATCAACATTCCAATTTGCAGGTTAGTATTAATTTATATATTTTTTTATTCGAGATTTGTCCTGTGTACCCACGATAAGCTAGATTTAAGTTTACTCGTTTAAATCGTAATCATCTAAAAAATGTTGTGTTTTAAAACTTGAGCTTACAAGTTTTATGATGCATAGGGCTTAAGGATTATATATTAAATTCTACTTTAGAATGTCTTTACAGTGTTTATACCTACCAAACTGTATCTGGGAATTATTTTCAATATTCCCATTCTATTTTGAGGCAAGGACACTTTGTAATTTATGCGCTGATCTACATTCATTGTAAACCTTTATATGACTTTATTAATTTATTATGATAATTTTACTGTGTTGTAATCGTGTAATTCAATGTTAAGATAAGCGTAGTAATGGGCCATAGTGCAAACTGGTCATCTGCACCTATGAAATGGTGTAACATTTTTTAGAGTTAAACGTATTGTTCCATATTTAAATAAAAGTTAGTGTGTTAATATAAACATAGATCGTAAATTAGCACATAAAAATTGAACAGGTCTTTTGATTATCGGAACATTAGAGGCATTTATACAGGGTGTTTTTTTGGCAGCTTTAGTTAAACGTTTCTGGGAAAGTAAAATAGGTAGGTTTTTGAAAATTTGTACTTAGGAGTTACTCTGAAGGCCGAATCGATGTAAAATATTTTCAAAATGGTCGCATTTTCGGAAACACTGGAAGTAGATAGTAACTTCGTTATTTTTAATGGCAACCCCTATTTTTTATTGCATTTTTGGATTCTACATGAAATTTCAGTTCTTTTGATACCCACATGTCGATATCTGCCATTTATGGTTTTTAAGTTATTTTCACTTTAAGAAAAGGAATGGTGGATGCAGATGGTACCTTGATAATTGATTACTTGAAAACGATTGCAGTGATGGCAATAGTGATGGCTACTCTGTAATTGGGCGCATGCCTGTTGAGGGCCCAGAACAAGAGAGGGATAATAAATAAAATAAAAATAAAAAATAGTCAGTAAAAACAAAACTGGGTGATAGAGGGGAGCGTAACAAGCACTTTTTCCAAATAAACCAATGGTTCAACGTGTTTCGTTTGCAAGCCACTCGCAAAAAAGTGGTGAAATTTGCATTTCTGGTTTGATTTTTCTCTCAACAACCATAAGAGGACTTGTGGCACATCTTTAAATAGGTTTGAGAGTACGCCCTTTCCGATTTTGTAAAATTTGTTGTAAATTTCTAATACCAGAGGGCGCACCCCTACATGGGAGTGCGAAAAAAAGTCTGATTTCGACGAATTTGGGGTTCTTGAAAATTCGAAAAAAAATTCCTTAAGACATAAGTATTTTGAGCAGTTGTACCATAAATTGTTTTGAGTACATTGTGTTGTAGCAATAATAATAATGCTGCAAACAGCACCAAACTTACGTTGAACTGAATTGTAAGTATATCTTTATTTTTGTGTTTTAGACTCAATGGCAACATCAAGATCTTCAGGCTCCATCTAGTAATAATTGGTATTCACAAACGCAGCCAAATCAGCAATCTTTACAACAGCCTCCTTATTCGCAGCCTGTTTTACAACCAAATAACTGGAATCGTTCGTATATACAACAACCCACAAATACATACAATCCGAATCCTACTAATCAATATACTGAACAATACTCTTCATATAATTCTTCATATTCTAATGAAAATAGTAGCTATCAACAAACAAATTACGCAAATCAACAGCCACAGAATCCCACGTATAATTATACTCAAACTTCGGAACCACAATCAAATGTTAATACTGATAGTTGGAATTGGGGATGGGGCGATGAAGATAATTCTAATGTTCAAAATTTACCGCAGGCAAATTCTACTTTAAATGTTAACCATGTCGAAAGTTCTAATGAAGAAACATGGAACTGGACCGTAGAAGATAGTAATACAAATTCTAGTGATGTACATGCTTTAGATAGTCATTCTTCCACTAGCACTAATAAAAATTCTGCGCATCAAAATACGCAACATACAGCTTCTCAACCTAGTGTCTTTCCACAAATGGGAAAATTGGCGGAGAAACATTCACAGTCGACAGATGTGTATTCCCAGGATTCCAATTGTGAAAGTAGTTTAAACCAACATTCGTTGGCTTATTCTGATCATCCAACTCTTAATCAAGCTGTAATCTCATCTACATTAAAACATAATAAAATTGATCATTTAACACCTCAGTGGTCCACAGAATCACAAATGTCACAAGATTCTTCTGATCTCCTACATACTTCTGAAAGTGACAAAAGTCATATGTTGTCTCGAAGCTCAACTATTAGCGAGTCACCGGTTTCTGGCCACGATATCAATTCAGAAAATGTGATAAGACAAGAATCACCGCAAAGTCGGCATCATGAAACTTCTAACGTTATGACCGAAACATCTTCATCTGACAGTGTATCGATGAATTATTATCGACAAGATGCTTACAGTTTACACCAGGAAAACAAGGAAGACATTTCTGGATTACAGGAAGAATTAAAGCAATATAAAGGCAACTCGACTATTCCTCCTCCTCCTATGACAAATCAGACACCCCCTCATGTTTTACCACTCACAGATGATAAGCCTAAAAATCCATATAAACTAAACACAGGTCTATCTCACAAATCTGCCAGTAAACATAATTTAGAGCCTAGACAATCTGGAAATCCAATTCATCAATCAAAGTATCCCGTATCACAAAGCCCCTTTAACCAATTGGTTAATTTGGAAACTTTACCTGACAATGCAGAACAACCAGACACAATTTCTCACATTTCTAAGAAAGTAGCAGTAAAACCATCAGTACACCAGTGGCCCGACAACAATGAGGTTGCACCAATAAATGATCGAAATCAATATTTGGAAACAGGACAGCTCTCAAACAATGAATGTAATCAGCCTCGCTCGTCTTCGCTAAACGATACGTCTGATTTAATACCACCTCCTGGTTTCACCCGAATGGTTTTAGGGCAAATGGAACAAACTGATAATCTAGGAAACCAAGATGAACCACCACCGGGACTCAGTAGAATGGTTTTGGGCGAAACGTGCGCCACTTCCTCATTACCAAAACCAGATAATGCGGAACCGTTACACAGAATGATACCAGGTGGTTCAAGTTCTCCAAAGCCCAGATACCAGCCTTCGAGTTATCCTGCGCCCAAGTTTGGGAACACACCACCACCACCAGAATCCGATTTAAATGTCCATGTTCCAAATCAAATCCGTTCAGCTACTATTGGAGCAGATACACCATCTGTTACTACAAATGTTGTTACTGGTGCTTCTATCGCTAATCGTTCAATGACTATCGGTGCTGATATTACAATGCCTTACAGTAGTACTAATTTAGAAAGCACTAAACCAAGCAGCAAAGTACCTAGTGCCTCAAGTAACTTTAACAACAATATACGAGAGACTAATTTAGAAGGTGCTAGTAACTTAGATGAAAAAATCACTACTCCTGTGGTAGCCAGACGAGATTCGATTGAAGGTGAAACTCAGGATAACTCTGTGACTAATTTAGTTAATTCTATTAGAGACCTTAACGTCGGTGAAAATTTAAATAACAGTACCAACTCCACGTTGCCGATAACTGAAAGGAACACAAGAAGACCGAGTAAACAGGAAAGTACGGATAGCGAGCAAGAAAGTGTGGCACGTGATCGAAAAGAGCGAAGATACTATGAAAAGCACGGTGATTATGATAGGGAGAGAAATAGAAGATATTCACCGTCACCGGATAGATACAGAGAGAAGAAATATGAGCGTACTAGGTACAGAGATCCTCGCTATGATGATGATACGGATTACTATAGTGACAAGGACCGTGACAGGAAACGTGATGATAAAGATAGGCGTGAAGAATTAGATAAGAAATATGGTAGTTTAAAACGGGATAAAGAAAAGCGCAGGAAAGAGCAAAGGAATTATAGGGATTACGGCAGAGATGGTCATAGAAAAGATTATTATCATCGATATGAAGATGAATACGATGACCATTCTAGGTATATAATTTTTACCGTCTGTATTATTGCATTATAAAAAATGTCGCAGGTCGAGGCCATCCAGTCGCTCTGATTCACTCCACGATTCTTATCGACAGGACCGTGATCGCCATCGTGATAAATATAGGCGCCACAGAGATCCATACAATATGCCGTACATGCAGGTAAGATCTATAAATTTCACCAGTCTCTTGCACTGATTATTAATTTATAGGGTTACTCTTACGATCCTTATAATCCGTATTATCAGCAATATCAATATCACTATTTAGAAAATTTAAGGCGAACAAATCCGCAAGCCTACGCCGAATGGTATAGAAAATATTACCAACAGAGTAATTCGCAGCAGAACTTTGGCAATGAAGACAGGGCATCTGTCCATTCAGGGCGAAGTTCTGCGAATGAAGAACTGTCTAAAGATCGGTAAGCTACATATTGATTGATGAATTTGTGCTTTTGTATTGGGGTGCCGTGTTTTTGTGGCTAATTAAAAATTTACTCCATTGTTGCACAACTAGCGAGTAATGATCAAAGATCTCAGTTGGTGAGCCATTCTCAAGAAGTTAATGTTGAGTAAAAGCATTGTAAATTGGGCATTTAAAATGTGTAAGAGAGAAGGCGGTAGAAAAGCCTGTAACAAACATTAATTCCAAAGGTAAGAGAAGTTCATCAATCACCTTGTCTGTGGTCTTTGATCATCGTTGCCTACAATGCCACTTATCACAGTGTAAAGATTGAACTGATGTCACTCTAGTAAGATTATTAGCACTCTTGCATATAATTTCTACTAAATAACGAGAACGCTTTTTCATACTAGAATTTTTAGCAAAGGGAAATATCACTTTGTACTGAGTGACCTAAATAAGACTGTTCCTCGGCCATATCTCGAGAACCGTTCGTCATATGACTTAGGGGTAAACAAAATTATTAGGTAAATCGGTCATGAACAATCGCTGGAAAATATTTTCAAGTTCTAAAATTGACCAACAGAGGGCGTAACTGCCATCTTAAATTTTAAAATTGGATTTTCTTTAAATTTCGCATAATAAACTAAAAAATGTTTTTCACATTTTTAAAGAGAACCAGTTTATCATTTTCGTAAAAATAAAAACCCAGTTATTTCAAAAACAAAGATGATGTGGGGCGTTCAATTGTTTTTGCAATAAACTGATTTAACCTCTTAACCGTTTGACCGATTTTAACAAATTTGGTATGGTTGAAAAGAGCATTCTTTGGGCAATGAGAATCAATCAAAATATAGTTAATTTAGTTGAATTCTTCTCCGCCAGGGGGCTAGTTTTGACACTATGACCCAAAATCCTTAAAAAATCAAATGCAATGATATGACTTTTTCTTTTTGAAAAAGTAGCCAAATAACATCCAAAGGGGCCAGTGAAAACCGTTTTTCAAAATCTCGTTCCTAACCTCAAATATTGGGAAATGAGATTAATTAATTAATTAATAAAAATGCTTAACTTGTATCTTAAACTTACTTTTTATGTATTTCCAGTATTCAGCCGTAATTTGTAAATTATTCTGTTGTGTTTACATTCAGAAAGTGCAGTTTTTTGAATTTGTAATCTTTTCTAAAATTCCGATTTCTAACCAAGAAGCATGTAATCTGCTGGCGATATATTTTGAGTATTTTCAAAATGCGACCATCACTGCCCGCATCTTCCATTTGCGTTATCCGAATCGACCACGAACCATCGCCGCCAGCATATTAAATGCTTCTTGGTTAGAAATCGGCATTTTAGAAAAGATTACAAATTCAAAAAACTGCACTTTCTGAATGTAAACACAGTAGAATAATTTACAAATTACGGCTGTAATTATTTTCTAATGCATCGTGTTTCATTTGTTTAATTTTCCAAGGCCTACCTAAAAGTGTAGGGTCCTTTTCCAAACACTCTTTCGCGCCATCGACAAATACCTACCGGAAATACATCATATAAGATACAATTTAAGCATTTGTATTAATTAATTAATCTCATTTTCTCAATATTTGAGGTCACGAACGATATTATAAAAAACGGTTTTCACTGGCCTCTTTGGGTGTTATTTGGCTACTTTTTCATAAAGAAAAAGTCATATCATTCCATTTGATTTTTTGGATTTTTTTAGGATTTTGGATCATAGTGTCAAAACTAGCCCCCTGGCCGAGAAGGATTCAACTAAATTAACTATTTTGATTCTTGTTGCCCAAGGAATGCTCTTTTCAACGATACCCAATTTGTTACAATTGGTCAAAGAAGTTAAAGCAGGTTATTGCAAAAACAATTGAACGCCCCGCCCCACACCATCTTTGTTTTTGAAATAACTGAGTTTTTGTTTTTACGAAATGATAGATAAACTGGTTCTCTTTAAAAATATGAAAAACATTTTTTAGTTTATTATGCGAAATTTAAAGAAAATCCAATTTTAAAATTTAAGATGGCAGTTACGCCCTCTGCTGATCAATTTTAGAACTTGAAAATATTTCCCAGCAATTCTTCATAATCGATTTACCCAATAATTTTGTTTACCCCTAAGTCATACGACGAACGGTGCCCGAGATATGGCCAAGGAACAGTCTTATTGGGTCATCCGGTACATTACAAAATTACTATACATAATGAAGTGCCAAACCAAATTTAAAAAAATGTTTGTCTACTTTCTTTTATACTTAGTGTAGATACTCTAAAAGGGAATTGCAGTGCGCTTGCTTGTATACAAAATACTCCCTTAAAGTTTTCAGCATAATGATCCTGAAACGGAACGAAAAATATTCAGCTTCCTTTTAATATTAAAATATGTAATGGTTCTAAAGTGCAGTTTACGTTATGTGGTTTTGCTTACGATCTCTCTTGCGACTTGTCATGTTTTCGGATCCAATCATATTTGTTTGTAGCAAATCATATTATAACATAAACAAAAAACCACTAACACAATCCCTAATAAAAGTCCAATCAATAATCGTACGAAAAATCATACGGGAAATCGTAAGCAAAATCACATGATGTAAACTGCACTTACTACCAAGGGAGGGAGGAGCTATATAATAGTAACTAATGATCTCCGCATCGCGCCCGTGCACGCCGGGCATGCTAATTTTTGCACATGGTCCAAAACTGCTCTGGTGGTTGCAAGTCTGGTTCCAGGCTATTTGGTTCATTATGGTGCAGAGGCCTGCCACAAGGAAGGGCTTTTGTCTGCGTTTAGTACTAAAACTGTCATAAGTAGTAAAAAATCAATCTTTGAATTACATACCATAGTTGTATAGGACTGAAAAGTGCAACCTCAAACTTCCCGCCACTTTGACCTTCGAAAAATTTAATAATAATAATAATAATAATAATAATACTTCTTTATTTCTTAGTATATACAAATGAAGTCTTTTCAATGCATAAGAAGAAATACGTCCTAATGTATTACATTTACCTACTATTCTAAAAATTCGTTAATGGAATAGGGTTCCATGTTTATTAAAAATTGTTTTAGTCTTCTTTTAAATTCGTTAATATCCCTAATCGGTTTAATACTTTCTGGGAGATGGTTAAAGAATAAAAACTATTGGTATTTTTGGGGAAATTGCAAAGTGGCTTATGACAGTTCGATTGAAATGATATGAAGACTCCCTTCCGAAGATATTTACTAGGTAGTTGTTTAGAGATTTTGATGTGTTGAAAAACATACATACATTACACAATGTAAAATTCCTACAAGTAAATCTCAAGGAAAAAACAATTTTCCAATTAAATTCTTGTCCTTTCTAGAACCAAATTTAACAGTCTTGTCCGTGTAGTGGTTTATGATAAAAATTAGCAAATGTTGCTGTGTTAGTAGACCAGCCAGCTGTTCTACAAATTTTTTCGAGACTAACCCAAGATCTATAGGCGGCTGAAGTTGATGCATGTCTTGTTGAGTGTGGTTTGTACCTGTGGGTATCAATTCCTGCTTCAGTTAAACTTTCTTCAACCCAGCGGCTAATTGTTTGTTTGGATGCTTTCCTATGTTTACCGAGTTTACCCTAATAGGTGACAAAAAGGAAGTCTTGGTTATCCCGGAGGCATATTTCGGAGGTAAGTCAGTACAGGTCCTGGGTCCCAAGTACTATTGTATCTTGGTGTAGCAGGTCGTAAACACGAAATGCCTTTAAGCAATCTTTCGATAAGTGGACTTGTTCCCAAGTCATGCTGATCAGCGAAAAGGCTGATTTATGGCAATGTACCAAAATGTTGGCTACTTTCATCTAAGGTATGTTGTAAGAAGGCGATGATGTCTGGTACAGTGGTTTCAAACATGGATATTTGTTTCTTTAAACAAAAGTTCCACCACAAACGGTAGATAATGTTATTCTGTTTTATTTTGTGTGAATCCTTGCTGGATAATTTTATGACAACTAGGGAAACGTTTTTGTGGGTTTTGAGACTTTGTGTTTCCCTATTAAGACCAAGACTGGGAAGGCCAGTTTGGTAAAACAATGATTCTCTCAGCTTTGTCATGTATAATTTTTTGAATACCATGCAGGGTTAAACAGAAGGGGGGGGGGGAGTGTAGAAATTTAAGGGTGAACTCATCTACTGCAACTGAGTAAGGATATTATGTGCCAGGAAATAAACCTTGGGCACTTGGCATTTATATAAGGACCAAGATGTCATTGTCAGGCTGTCCAAATCCCTACAAATAATCATGAATGCTTCATCCGAAGGCACCATTCAATGTTCTTTTCACAACTTTTATTATATACATTTGGAAGCTACAGTCTTAAGCTATTTTTCAACATATTGGGGCACTTATCATAGCGTGGTACAAATGTTTTCATTTCAACTTTGTATACATCCGCCACCTGACACTTTAACCACTGGTTATCGCCGGCTTGAAGTTTGGCATCGCTGTCCATGTGCTATGTTGCCCGCTTCATCGCTGGGAGAGGTGGAAGTTGCTTGGCGCTAGATCTCGAGCTGTATGGAGGATGATCAAAAATCTCCCATCCAAAATCATCCAAGAGCTGTCCAGTTCGGTTGACTGTGTACGGGCGGGCGTTGTCGTCGAACAACAATACTTCCACCTCTTCCCAGCGATGAACACTTGGCTGGAAACGCAGCGGTTCGATAGGGACGCCGAACTTCATGTCAGCGTTATCCAGTGCAGGTTAAAATCTCAGGCGGCGGATTTATAAAAGTTGGAATCAAAACAATTGTACCATGCCACGCTATGATAATTATGTTGGTAAATAGCCCAAGAGTGTAGCTCCCAAATTTATATAATAATAGATTTTTTTTAAAATTCTTTATTTTAAAATATCTGTTACTTTCTGGACAACCCTCGTATTACTTAAGAGAAAATAAATCTCTTACAATCCTATTGCCAAAACAACAATATTCAAATTAATTAATGTAACAGCCAGATCTTTATTAAGGATCCTCAGATCCTTTATAGTTTTTTATTGTCGTCTGTCCGTATGCGCTATAACTCTTTTTAAAAGTGGCCGATTGTGTTGAAATTTGATGTACAGGTACTTTGACATTAAGGACGGACGCTATTGATTTTCAGGAAGCTGGTGCAACGGGAACAAAAGTTATAGGACTTCGAGTGAATCGGGAACAGGAAAAATTGTGGGCTCAATATAATAGAAATGAACATATTTAATTCCCTAGGTCATGTATCGAGTTCGGACTTTCGCTAGATTATTCCCTAAGACTCTTAGATGTGTAACAATCAGAGCTCGAATTGGGCCGGAACGAACCGGAACGGTGAACGGATTCCGGTTCGTGATATTATTTTAACACATCGTTCCGTTTCATAATATTTTCGTAAAGATTGTGCCGGTTCGTAAATTAGAAAGCGAACGGCAAACATTCGGAATGCTGTTACTATTAAAAAAATTGCAAATGTTTTACTAATTATCCAATCGTACTATACAATATACAAGTTCAGATTTTGCATTTACATAAATTGTCGTAAATAGACAATAAACGTGTATCACTCATTGGAGTGGGGGCAGAAAAATAAATCCTTGAAAAATAGATTTTGTTATAGGTATATTCCCAATTTCATAAGGATAAAGGATCCAATACATGCCCCCCCCAACCAAGTTCGCTGGGAAAAAGACTGAGAGCATTATCTCAATGCCCGTGACATGAATTTGATGCATTTTTGTTAACTATAATATGTATTTTGATATAACAAAAGTAGTTGTTGAAAAAGTGATGGTAATATTGACGATCCTTCGACATTTCTATGTATCGGTTTATTTGTTTTAAGAAGTTACTTTGTTTGCATAAAATTGGGCGCCCTTCAGAAGAGATTTTGTCATTTAAATGTAGACATAGGGAAAAACAATACACATAAATTCCTATGTCTACTCTTTGATAAATATTAAATAGCACTATATATGATGCGAATAACCAAATATTATGCTCTTCGCACCAACGCCAAATTTTTCTTGTTAATCCATTCAGCTTTGGGAATTGAATTCTTCCCATACTATTACCATATGAGACGGCTGTTGTGTTATCAGCTTGTATTAAGACATTACAGTTAAAGAACTTACAAGTAAAACATGTTAGTCCATTACAGATGGCCAGGAGTTCTAGACAATTTATATGACTTGTTCTTTCTATCTGTCGCCAAAAACCATGAGTGTATTCCTCATTTGAATGAGCCCACCCAGTGAGAGAACTATCTGTGGAAATTTCTAGAGCCTTCATAATGTTATTGTAAGAATCTGAGATGTTGTGATTCCACCAATTTAGGTCTTTATTTTAGTTGTTTATTTACGTTTATTGATCTCTTACAAGATATAAAAGTAAGAGATATGTGAACTGATAGATTGAGAATATAAGAAAACGTTTGCCTAGCTAATGACACAGAAAATCAGATATACTATAGTAACCTATGTTTCGCTTTGGTTGGCGCTTCTGTGGATAGATACACTTACCACTTGCTTCAGTCAGCGTTAATCGATGTTGTGTTCCTGCATCGGTCTTTGGGCGGAACTGGCGTTGTCCGTTTAAATGATGCTGACGAATCGAGTAGTTGGTGCTATAGTCGTATGGTTTTTTGGTTCCTCCTCTAAGAGCAGTGGAGGATCACCCACTGGCGTAAAACGGTGAGGGGCGCAGCTCTTTTCCTGCTCTTTCTAGATGTTTGTTTGTATACCTTTTCCCAAAGCACACTTAGTTTAGTTTAAGTGGAACTTATATTTACTGCTAGTATCTGTCCGAATTTCGCGCGTTACTATAGCAATAATGTCATGTGTCACCTTAACTATATCTTTGAATACCACTAAGTACGCGCTAAGTATGAGTAAAGTGTAAAGCGGATTTATAGTTCCGTAGCCGTAAGAACGGAACCGTAAAATCTTACGTTAACGAAAATTATACGATTTATAGTTACCGTAGTGGTAAGAGATGAGCTTACGTATTAGTGCGAAACGAATTCTGTCATTGTCTGTCATCTGTCAGTAAGAGTAACGTGCATTTCAAAATAATAATAACCAACAAAGTGTCAATAATTATTGTAAATAAACGAAACGAACGTCAGGATAAACTCAACTGTTTGAATTATCCGAGTACTACCGAAGACAAGCGCGTTAGCACGATTTACCGTAAGAAATAAGATTTGTGCATTTCCTACGTACCGTAACCGTTCTAACGCAACGTTAACGCGAATTATAAATGTTCACACCCAACAAGTAGGGTTTAATTCCAAACGTTACGGTACGGTGTTGCGGGTACGGAACTATAAATTCAGCTTTAGTGTAACTTATAATATCTATGAATTCCACCCTAAGACCATAATTTTTGGAGGAGAAATAAAGCCAACCAATTTGGGTTGGCAACTTAGTTTTGCCAGTCCCTTAGAGGGTAGGTACGACCAACGCGAAGCAACTGCCTTATGCAGGTTGTAGGTCGAACTAATATTGTTGCTGGGATCGTCTCCTAGTATGGTTATGGTATCTTCGGAAAGATTTTGCTCTGGGTCCGTTTAATTTTTTATGATCAAAGTATCAGGGTCTAGACCTGACTTTACAGGATGTTAGCAAAAGTGACTGTTCAAGTTGCGCTTATTTGAATCACTTTCATTGTCAGAACAATGTGCGTCTCGGACTTGAAGTTCATTCCTTGTCGAGTCGTGCGAGGTGACGTGACATACTCCTCCTAGCAAGGAGATTTCGAGTCGCTTGGACTTCGAATATCTCTAGAAAAAGTGCAAGAAGACGCACTGTTGACTGGCGACGCACGTGTGTTCGTGTAATAATTTATTTATTTATTATTATCCCTCTCTTGTTCTGGGCCCTCAACAGGCTTGCGCCCAATTACAGAGTGACCCGCATAATGCCTTTTAAAGGTGCCTCTGCAGAAGGTCTTAAGTTGTTCTGTACTACTCCGGTATTTACCTTACAAATTAGGAAAACTGCAGGAAAATAGGTTTTCGGAGTAGCCGGCAGAATGCTCGAAACTGGTCTTAAGGCAATTCCCATCTCTGCCACAGATGAAAAATTCACCTCAACCCGACCTCCGGATTTATAGTCCAACGCTCTACCACTGAACCATAAAGCCGGTAATGCTTGGACGAGCTGGCAATGGAGGGAGAGAACGTACGCTCGTCTTCAACAAAACGACACTTCGCAGCTCGTATTGAAGTGTATCTAGACGCCATAACTTCGGCAGATATCTTTCTCTACTATGACTACGGTTTCGTTTTTTCGATTTGCTCATTGCGCTAAAAAGACACCAGAATAAAGAAAATGCTTACTATAAATTTATGATTCTAGTGAGAGACGAGAGGCGTACAAGTAACGATCAAGCAAGCGAACGAATTGCACGCGCCACACACAAACAGATGAATGACATTCGCAGCAGTCAGCAAGGCAGTTCAGAGGGAACCCAGCTATTTTTAACTTCCTTTAAAAATGTGTGAATGTTGCTTACATCACAGACGTACTACCTAGTAAATATCTTCGGAAGGGACTCTAAAATATCATTTCCTAAAAGCAACATATTGAAAGTTTTGCTAGTGATCATTGGTCAATACATAGGTAATGCGACCTTGACCTCACAAAAATGTCAAAATATGTTAACGATTCGACCCATTTTGAACACGTGTTTATTGGTTTATTCTTTAGTTTTTAAAAATCCTTCATTTGTGTAGAAAATGAAGAGCAGTTTCCGGGAGTCCATGCTGGAGGGTGGTACGACTAATTAGAAAAGTGGTTCATTTTTTTCGCGAGAAATGTGCTTAGTGTTGTACCGTTGTGTTGTTGACTTTTAATCAATGAAGCCAAAATTTCACCACAGGCTGTTTACCATAGATTAATTGAATCAGGAGCGTAATAGTTTGCACCTTTGCTATTCACAAAATTTGAAAACTTTATGTGGCAATTCTGTGCAACAGACATTCTATTTTATATGGAACGAACAACAAAGTTTTGATTCAGAGAAGACTGGAAATTTTAGGTCATGTGTAATATTATTTTTAAGTTGGTAGGTAACAAGCGATCAAAACTGAGTGGCGGTTGAGTCGCCTTTAGAAGTTCAAGTTACGTATGATTTCCCATGTAAACAAAAACTCCAAAGGTGACTCGACAGCAACTCATTTTTGATCGCATAGTGTTAGAGCTACGCTTGTCATGGAGAGAATTACAATTACCTTAGACCATATAGTACATGGACTGCTAATTGTAACTAAAATATGATCAAAGACATCGCCTAGGTATGTGAGTTTCAGGGTAAACGAGTCTGTCCGAAATTGTCCGATGGGGCACGATTTGAGACTGTCCACCTATAAATTAACAAACGTCAATTAATTAATCGCCTAGATAAAGCTATAAAAGCTACTCTTTACGCAATCCAAGTGGTGTTCATACGACTTTAGTTTACCCTGCGATTCACATACCCACGACTACAGTGCCCTCTATCCGTGACCACCCATTTGGTATTGAAAGCATAGGGCTAATAGCAGTCCATGTACTATATGGTCTAAGACAATTACACATGACCGGTATGTCTCTCTCTCTCTTTCAAGGCCAACTATGAATCAACATTTTGTTGCTCACTCGTTACAACATATAATGCATTGTATGACATCGGTTCCCTTTTTACCATTGTGATAAGCTTGATTATTTTTAGACTTTACACAGCAAATAACCATTACATTTTGAATACACATTTGTTGTAGCTTATTCTTCTTTTTTGTTCTTATCGACCACATACTTTGCTAAAACGCCAACATTTTGAGGTACACCCTAATCTTACACTTTATTTAAAATTTTCGCAAAAAATTGTGATTGATTCTATTTAGGTATTCACGTCAGAGTTATTACAACCAGGCGAGCTTGAACTACTACCGAGAGCCTCACATTCATAGCATTTTAGACCATTATGCCCCCGACGAGTCTAGGTGAGATTATTCTCAACCCTCAACTTACATTTTTCAACTGTACAGTAGATACATTAATAATTGTTGCTTGATCCACTAAATGTAAATTATTAAATTAACGAAATTTGTATTGAATAGAATTTTGTTGGGGATTACTAAATCGGTGTAAGAGAAGGGTATTGACGGGAATGCATTGAAGAAATTGATGTTTGTGTGAGAGAAGTTGGGTAAATGGCTAAATGTTTAAATTATTTGCTATTCTGCTTTATTTCCTCCATACACAAGGCATGTGCATGTCAGTGCATATCACCAACGGTAAATGTGTGCATGTTTTAATCTTTGGGCATGTAAATGCATGAATTGAGTAAGCGCTTTATGACTCATGTGTAACCTAATGTTACGGTACTAAAATAATTTTCATTTTTATTAACACTTTTTGAAAAGTTAAATATTTCGAATAGTAGAAATAGCATTGTTTACTCTCGTAAAGGTGACTAAATTAATGTTTTGTTTTGATCGTACAAAAAGTAAATCAATTGTCATTTTCATTTTGCTAAGTGGTGGTGGTATATTACTAGCTTGTGTGGTGTTTATTGTTAACATTTATTCCGTTTGCTACTCACAGCTTGTCAAACTGGTGTTCTTAGGGTATGCAATAGATTTTTTCACTGTACGAAGAATGCAGCTTAAATACTAATGGATTGACTAACAAACAGAATTTTTAAAATGTTTAGTTGTTGAAGCATAGGGTGTTAGTTATAAAAGTGCTATTGCATTTTTATTGCTCAACAGTCAACATAAAAAAGTGTCAGTACACAGGCGATGGGCGAAGAAAATAAAAATTTTTCGTTAAATCATCAACATATTTTGTCCTTAAATAGTTTGACAAACTTTGTATGAATTTTTTTATCAATTGTGAAATAACTACTCAACCCTCCTTATGGCATCACAGTCTTGTAAGATGCTCATTGTGTATGTTCTTCGATTCCAAATGTTGCATTATTACATAGTTTGAAAGTGTGATGTCAAATCACAAAAAGCAGGCAAAGGGATATCAGCGAACTTTCTAATCAGAAAACAGCCTCACCAAATCCATAGCGTCATCTCACCCGTCGCTTCATTATCAAAAGGCATGGCAACCCTAAAGATGTTGGGTGATATAGGTCGAAAGTTACCAAGTGTAACATAAGCCCATCATCATTAATTATGAACAATAACAGTAGGAACAGATAATGTTAATAGGCCAGTCAAAATCGACACAAAAATCGCTAAATTCGCAAAACATGATGTATCTCTGATTTTTTAGTATGTTGTTTGGACCCATTAGAGTAGTGTATACTCAAGTTTGCAACTCTCTAAAAGTTGTGGAAAAAGTGTAGTATACAAAAAACCGCGAAATTTTCGGAATTTTTGGAGTGTTTGCGTTATATTTCCTTAATTATGCATTTTTCGACTTTCATCACTGTATACGTTTTTGAATAGTATTAAATGTGTAATAATTTGCGCCCAACCTGAGCTCTGTAAGTCAATTAGTTACCGAATTACGGCACTTTGAATATAGTCATTTTTTTTCCAAAAAGTGAACATTTGAGTTTTACACCTTCTTTAGATCGAAATTGCGGCTAAAGTATTAATCCTACGTGTGGAAATTATAAAATAGAAGTTGTAGATAATTTAATTAGCGTAAAGTGGGGTCTGTAGGCCTCGTAGTTCTCTCTAAATTTCAAAAAAACCGATATAAGGTAAAATTGTATTTCTCCAGAAATGTTCCACAAACTTTTTATGTTTTGTTTTTTGGTGTGGAAATAAAAAAAGCAATGTGTCAAAACAGTTTTTTGCTGCATAGAGTCAATTTTAAACATCCAACAATTTCATAGATTTAAATTAAGGCACAAATCAAAGTTGAGTAAGTCGTAGATAGGTGTCGCAATGATATCATTGTATACATACCTAATATACAATGATTGATATGATGATATTTAAGGATTGTAGCGGTTCTTTGTTCTGCGTAGTCCCGTTGGGTGATCGGCAATAGAAGTAATAATGCCTGGTACGGAAATACTGGGTATTTTGGTAAAATGGTAACAGTTACCTGATGACAGAAAATACTCAAAATAGGAATGATAGCAGTAGGTATGGGTTATGACTTATGATATTCAACAACACATACTCGCGCGATTGAATCGTCTTTACGAATCTGTAATCATTGAATAAGGAATCTTTATTCAATGATCTTAAAGTGGGAACCAATACCGAACTAAAACTGTTGCACGCACTGGAACACAACCGTGCGATGACAAATTCAAATACTTTATTGATAGAAGAATAGTGCAGATTTCAATCTTAACTGAGTAATAAACAGCTTTCAATGTAATTCAAAGTCCGCCGCCCTATTGGCGAGCATGTTTTTGGCTCATAAAGATGATCCTTATGTTATTGTTAGTATAGTTGTCGCGAAGTTGTCATAAATTATTAACACCGCGCGCGCTAAAGTATTTACAGATTTTCAGACGTCATGATAAATTGTTAATGCCATATTTCGTATCGTATATGAAACCCTCTCTCGTTCCCCAGCTTTCTTAGTTTCTTCCTGAGCTCACAGTATTTGTTCCTTTGTTGTGAGTAACTCGTGTTTCAATTTGTACGTTTGTGTTCCAAGTATCGTGTTGTGAATAGGTTCCAACAATGCCAGTGCCTCCCGGCTCTTGTTTTATATGTCGATATCCACTTGAGGACTGATAGTTGTTCAAAAACGTGGTATCCAGTCACTAGTTGCCATCAGTGTAAAACGTGGTCTCCAGGACAATGCTCAGGCCACCGAATGGGGTTGGGAATTGAACTCGGCTGGACTCATTCCCATTACCAGACGGCAACCCCCCCCCCCCAGAGCTCCTGTCTTGCAAATGCAAAAAGGGATGCAGAGGTGGCTGCATTTGCCTGAAAGCAGGTCTCAAATGCTTTGTGATGTTTGCTACCTGCGCGGGGGAAACGTGCCAGAACGCTGCTCTTATCATCATCGGAGACAACCCTGACGATCCAGCAATACTGGACTCCCTACCTATAAAGGACCGCGACGACAATCCACCAATAGTAGAGGACCTGCCTGTTAAAGAGTGCACCGAAAGTGACAGCCTAGAGCCATTCAAAAGAAGGAGACGATTTTGATCTATCTTTGATTTATTGGTTATATACCTACTACAATTTTTCTGACTTATGTTTATATTAAAATACACCTCACCGTTTTTTTAATGATTGCATGCCAAATTTTTCTTTGCCACACCAAAAAACAAAAAAATAAAAAGCTTTATTGGAACATTTCTGGATAAATGCGATTTTACCTTATATCGGTTTTTTTGAGATTTAGAGAGAACTACGAGGCCTGCAGACCCCACTTTACGCTTAACTTAAAGCTAATTAAATTATCTACAACTTCTATTTTATAAGTTCTACTCGTAGGATCAATAGTTTAGCCGCAATTTCTATCTAAAGAAGGTGTAAAACTCAAATGTTCACTTTTTGGAAAAAAATGACTATCTTCAAAGTGCCGTAATTCGGTAACTAATTGACCTACAGAGCTCGGGTTAGGCGCAAATTGTTATACATTTAATACTCTTCAAAAACGTATATAGTGACTTTCGTCGAAAAATGTCTAGTTAAGGAAATATAACGCAAACACTGCAAAAAGTCCGAAAATTTCGTGGTTTTTCGTATACTACACTTTTTCCACAACTTTTAGAGGGTTGCAAACTTGAGTATACACTACTCTAATGGCTCCAAACAACATACTAAAAAAATCAGAGATACATCGTGTTTTGTTGATTTATTGTCGATTTTGACTGGCCTATAATTGCTCAACATAAATTTGTGATGAATATTCAATTTTGTGCAATTCATGGTATTTCTGAATATCGTTTTTGTTCAATTTACTTAAATGCATTAAAAAACTTCGAAAGAGGAAGAGATTCACAAGGGCCGAGCTTTCATTTCGAATTTTTGAAAGTTTCGAATTATCAAGAGTCAATATACTGTGGTTGGAGTAAGGAGAAGGGGTATGCCATTCTACAAATTGCACAGTTACCAAACCAAACTCGTTTTACAGTCACAAAATCAGTATGTGACTTTCAAATTAATCAGTTTTTCTAAAAGTAGCTAAGTAGCTGTACCCATTAGATTACATTTCTTTTGTTTGTTCTTGGAATATTATATGCGATAAAACTCTATTCGTCTCAGCACATTTTGAAGTACAGTTTCATCACAGTTCCAAGAAAAAAAATGTTGTAGAAAAGTACATATGTGAACAATAGAAGATACATTTGCTAATTTTTTGCGATAACAATGCAATAAGCCCAACTGAAATTGACACCCTGTGAATCATTTTAAAAAAAAAAAACTAATTTTCGTATTCTTAAAAATCCAACAGTTATGTTAATGATTACTTGCAATTGCTAAAATTAACTCTGGATTGATTTTTGAAATGCACACACAAATGGTTTTTTTTTTAATTGGTAAAGTGTATTGATCCAAATGTTTTGTTTAAATATGGAGTTTCCTCTGAAAACAAATGTTAAAGATAAGTTCATCAATTACCTACAAATGTTAAATAAAAAAGAAACACTCAATACAATTGTTTATGCATTGACTTTAAGCATAGCCTACTATAACTACAAGCCGTCGTCTGCGATTGCTGACGTCACCAAAGGAGCCGGTTAATTTCTATCAAGTTATATGCGTGCGGATATAAACATACAAGCATTCAGTTATTTATTTTCCCATTTTAATATTTTAATATTAGACATTGTAGTTGTACCAAAGAGTAGAGTACCTACCCTTTGGTTGTACCTATACGTAACACCTCTTCACAAAGAATCTTCTTGCAAACAAAACACATTTCATAAAATAACTCATTATGCATATTAATCATTGTAACTGTGTAAAAGATGATGCTGCATTTATGGAAGATGACAATTTCGAATTATACCCAAATCATGAATTAACAAATAATTTTATAATCGCACCCATGTAACTCTATTGAAAGTAACCGGCTACTTTGGTGACATTAGCGTACTCGCAGGCGACGGCTGATAGTTATAGTAGGTTCTGCTTTAAGCAAAGTTCAAACGAGACTGGGCCCAATTTAAATTAAACCAAATCGTGCTAATTCAAAAGAGTAGATAATAGGTTATTTCGTTATGTAATTTAAATATGTGTGTGCGATGTAATCTTGAATGTGCAAGTAGTAATAGCATAAAATTGATGGTTACAGATGCAAAGTAATCAAGTAATATAAAACTTACTTACTGATTTTAATACTAGGCCGTTTGATCAGACTGATTCCTCACTTTACTTGGAAGACACAACTGGGGCATCTCAAAGATTGACTCCCGCTAAATTTGCAACAGCACATGTTAAAGCATCGATATCATCCGGACGACTTGTAAAGATTTTTCCGCATTATCCGCTGGATGGCCAGCCCGCCGTCGTGGAAGTTAATAATTTAAAAGAGCTTTTAGTTAATGATGACGAGTATAAAGAGCTAGTCGAGTTCCCTGGACCGTTGATAAAAGGGGTTACTCATAAAAAGACGATTATAGAATACTGCGAAAATAAAATAAGAAGCGCCATATATAGTCGTGATATTGGAGATGTGGATTCTTACATATTAATGTGGGAGCTGTTGATCCTATTGTTAAGGCAAAACGGGGTAAGTTCGAATTTTTCATTGGTCGAAAAACCTTGTATCTGTTTGCAGATGGTTGTTGGAACGGATATAGCGGAACTATTAATGAAAGATAAGAAGCAGGAATACAGTCGAAAAGGTTCAATCACCTCTAATAGCAGTGAAGTAGTAGAAAGAGCGCTCTCTGAACCTAATCTTCACACTGATTTAACTGGCAGCTCCGCTTCTATCTTAAAAGAGGAAGTTGTTACAAATAAGTTTAGGGAACTTCTGATTTATGGTTCCGAGAAAGAAGCATTAGGTAGATTTTGGAATAAAAAGGCAGTTAGTGAGTGTTTGTTTCAGAGTGGTCTATGAAACATGGACTATGGGGACATGCCCTATTTTTAGCCAGTAAATTGGATAAACGGACATATGCAAATGTAATGACACGTTTTGCTAATGGTTTAACTATGAATGATCCTTTACAAACACTTTACCAGCTATTATCTGGAAAAATTCCTGCTTCCGTTACAGTACGTTACATGTATAGAAGTGACATCGTATCTAACGCCTGTGTTTTTAGTGTGTTTCGGACGAAAAATGGGGAGATTGGAGGCCACATCTGGCAATGATTCTTTCAAATACGACGCAAAGACCGGAACTTGACAGAAAAGCCATTATGACATTAGGTGATACCTTGTTTGCCAGAAACAGCCTTTACGCTGCTCAGTTTTCATATCTTATGGCGCAAGTCGAATTTAGTAGGTACGGTACAGAATCGCCCAAGCTGGTGCTGTTGGGATCGAACCATAATAAACCGTTTATGGAATTTGCAATTAATGAAGCCATTTTCATGACTGAAGTCTATGAGTATGCATGCAGCCTAAATGACAACAATTTTGTCATACCAGAATTTTTGGTAGATATTCGGTTATTTACGCATAAAATACAAGAATTTTATTTTTAGCCTTACAAATATCTTCTTGCCACAAGATTGGCTGACAGGGGACTGCTAGACAAATCTTTGGCATATCTGGAAAAAATCGCAGTGGCAGTTACACAGAACCCAGGTCTCGCGCAACCTACGCTTATACACCAAGTTTGCACGTTAGGTGATAGACTGAAATATTGTGATATCGTTGAAGATGCGCTTGAGGGGGATACAGAATGTGACAACCGTCCAGATACAACTTGGCTAAGAGATTTGAAGGCTTTTGAGAAAAACATCAATGTGAGCGAGATATTGGTACACTTAGATTTTTATTCTTTGTTTGTTAGATTCATTCTGCACCACTGGATACTGTCGAAAATTCTGAACTAATGGCAGGTACTGATCAAAATCAAATTCATCAATCTGCTTATGACCAGTCGTGGCCGCAGCAATATGCAGAGGAGCAGTATCAACAACAACAACAGTGGCAATCAGGGCAGTATGATCAACAAAACAATGCAGTGTATCAACAATCACAATCTGTAGGTACAGAAGGTGAGTGCTTCACACTGATGTCCAAGTGTACAATTTCAAGTGTGTATGTGTTAGGTTATACTTCAGAGTTGTATCCCGATCAACATTCTTATTGGACTCATAATCAATTACCTGAGACTACAGACCATGGACTGGATTCGAATACACAACAGCAGTTTCCTACTGATTTGCAATCAAATAGTTTTTGGAATAGTGCTCCAGCACAGGTAAGACGGGTTGCTCACATATTTTGAGGGAATTAACCCATCTATCTCAAAAACTGTCGTTTGGGTGATACCATTGTTCGAACTAATCTCAATATTTCTTAAAAGTGTGGTGTTATGAAAATCAAGCTGCACGAGTTGTAGATGTTGAAATCACAGTGTATTAACTTAAAATGTAACTAATTTGGAATTGTTGGATGTTTTGCTCCATGTATAAGTTTATGTAGATTAAATAATATCGAAAGACGAAAGTTGTTAAAACATATCTTTTTATACTTTCTTTGGGCTATCGATTTTGACTTTACGTCATCATGAGGCCTTAGCGTCAATTGAGTGAATCCTTAAGTTTATATTTCACTCAATTGAAGCTAAGGCCTGATGATGACGTAAAGTCAAAATCCATAGCCCAAGAAAATATAAAAAAATATAAGTTTTAACAATTTTCTTCTTTCGATATTATTTAATTTGGAATTGTTGGAATGGTCACATTCATATATGTGTTCTAACCTCAACACTACTTATGCAGAAAGTCGACAGTTGGGTCTTAATCTGAGTTATACAATGGCAAGTTAGGTCGCTTGGTTTCAAACCACATCCATTTCTGAGCTTATTTTTTTTCTAGTGTGATGACATAAATTACAATCGAACAAATACATAAATATCTAAACTTTTCACCTCACTTTGATAGGTTACAATTATAGTCTAAGAGCCAGTGACAGGCAATCTGTATATAAATGATAAAATCTGTAATTCTGCCAAGTTAGTCTTTTACAAGTGTTCCGCAAACTTTTTATGCTCAAGATACACCTTCGAAATTGGGAAATCTCATAGGTACACCATAAAAAAAATTCAAATCAATTGAATCAGTTTAGAAACTTGCAATTAATTTTAAAGTACAAAAGGTATTTAATTTGAAACATGACTTTGTATTATCCAAATTTGGGGTAATTGTTGACAGGGCTGCTTTCATTTCTTAAGCGATCGTGCTTACACGTTCTTTCTTTTGTGTTTTCATTGTACTGCAACGGAATAGTTATTTACATAAAATAACTTTGGTGGCAATCCTCGGAAGTGTCATGTGTAATAGATGTGCTCCAAAGTGTTTCTTTATATTGGTTACAAAATTACATTGGCTACGCGCATTTTCTATTCATGTGTGCACAAGTGCATAATTATACTATAGGCACATTTCATGTCTCGTTTTGCATCTCTGTAAGTTTTCTGCTTCAACAAAAAGTGGATTTTGAAACTGGATTTTTAATTGATTGTAAAATCACACAATGCACATTGTACAAACCTGGAATTCTTGTGTGTATTAACATATGCTTTTTTAAACTGTATTTATTAGTTGCATAGTCACACTGGACCCACTTTAAATCCTTGGAACTTTTGTGCATTAAGAGATGCTTTTTGAAACTCGATTTATAATTGTAATTATAGTTGCAACATATTGCACTGGACACATTTTAAATCCTTGGAAATCTTGTGTGACAACAGATCAAGATGAACTCTTTATTGTTGGTTGAGTAATCATACTGAATGCATCTCGGAATGCATTTAGAAATAAATATCAGGCAACAGAGAAGCTAAACGTACCACTTAAACTTATTTCAGAAATTTAATCAGCCTTTTAAGTTTTTTTTATTGCCGCTAGAGGTCTCGTCCTTATTTGAAAACGCTAATATAATTTTTACTTTTTTTACTTACCTATATATTTTATTGTAACTTTAAATATTTGTATTGATAATATGCAATAATTGATACTTTGTAAGTTTAATGTGAGAAACTTGACGCAGTTGACATGGATTGAACAAATCTTATCGCATCCGTAAAGGGGATACACTTTTATTAACTAATAGGACTACACAAACTCCATTACCTAAGGTGCTTTCTTTCGGTGATCCAAACGCGTTTGGATTGTCAAATCACGTTCTTTCGAAGTGTGATCTTACTAAAATCGTGAACAAACTGAACATAAAAGTTTTATGATCACGAATTCCTAACCTATAAATGCAAGGATATTTTTGCTCAAATGTTCCATTCAATATTTGTAACTGAAGAGGGGCATAATTGTGCAAGTACTTCCACTTGTATTTAAATTATTTTCATAATCCAAAAAGTTACTTGATTCGAATGCAAATGTGTACTACGTAAACTTAACCATACTTTGATTTAAATTCGCGCGTTCTTTCGTAAAACGTGATCCTACGAATCACGATTTTGAAATCATGATTGCTAAGCAGTCGAAAGAAAGCGCCTTTTATTGAACGGTAGAGCCCAGTTATCCCAATGACGTCACGCATAGGCATACCTTGTCTTATTGTACCATGCTATAATACTTTCTGTCAGGAAATTTTAGTTTCCATGGGTGCGTTCACCAGAGCCAAACGTGTTTGCGCTTTGATTACGTCTGCAAACACAAACTGTTTAGGCGCAGGTGAACGATAGGGTGCGTTTGCCAGAACCATCTGTTTGCAAACCGTTTGCGCTTTTTAGATAAGTACGTTTACTGAACGCGTTGCTAGTTGTTAAACTGTTTGCAAGCGGACGCCATTTTTTGAATCGCAATTTAAACTCGCTGAAAATCACAAACATGTTTGTAATTTTGTAAGGCATGCATATTTGTTTAAACCATCGGCATATAGGTTTATGCGCGAAATTGGAGTAAATTACTAGTACATATACATCACGACCAAAAATTGGAAAATTGCACATTGCACACAATGCGCTTGTTGTAAGTTGTAAGAGGTAAATCGAATAATTTAATTATGAATGAAGAAGGGAGCATTCCATGTATGCAGGCTTATTCAAATTCGAGGGCCACCATGGGGATCTCGGGAACTGTAAGAAATAGAAGTTGGCAAAGTTGAGTAGTTTGATACTTAACAAAATGCGTTTTGAAACTGAAAAAATTCCGACTACTTTCGGAGATATCCAGAAAAAAAATGACATTTTACAAAATCGTTTTTATTTGTTACCTAAGTTATTTAAAAAGATATTTCAAAATAAACGGCACATAATTGTGACCACTTTTTTCCATATACAAGATGCTAGTTTTAAATTTTTAGTCTGACGTTTCGTCTCCGGTTAACCATCATCAGCTTTGTTTGTTCTTATGGAAGTCATTTTTACTTTTTGTGTCATTTGATAGAGCTTTTTCCTATCAATAAATGGTGCTGTTAATCCGTAAAAACGCAAGAAACTGCTAACGTACACTGCCCACAACAAAGTTGCCAGACAAAAAAAGAAGATATTTTAACAGTATTACTTCAGCCTCCCTTTGACGAATGTCAAATTTGAAATACTCGGCGAGTAATAACTTTGTAGTGAAATCGTTCCACACCAAACTTCTCTTCGAATTTTTTTTTTTTTTTTTGAGTTGGATCCATCGTTCCTCGAAATGGGGGTTGAAATATATTATGTTATCAAAAATCTCTAAACCTTCCCCATATAGTATTCGTTGAAGTTTTTAAAAATAACAGCGACTATAGTTTCGGCGTACTGCCATCATCAGGCGATGTGAAAGTTAACAGGAAAACGGTAAATTACAAACGTTGAAGACGAATAAGACGAACATGTTGTTTTTTAATTATTAACTGGCCGAAGCCAAGTGAAAAAACCTGAAGGGTGGTTAAAACGGAAAGGTTGTCCTAAGTTTCAAGACGAATTATTATCAAGCCTTGTTAAGACTATTAAAACCTTTTACATTGTCCCCTTAAAAGGGATTATAAAAGACACGAAGGTATCCATTTTATTTATTGTCAAGAAGTACAGTACCATAGAGTACATAAACGTGTAAAACATAAATTATTTTCATGTAACAAAACAGATGGCGCTTACGGTACTAAATAGAAACTATTTGGAGATGCATCAACATTTTAACAAAGACAACCAACCGGAGGGTTGAATTATTACATTAAAGTTGGATTAACACATTTCAAAAGAACGGGGGGAAAAATAAACTTATAAAAGTATTGAAACTATTGAGATGAATACATATTTAAATTATTTAAGTAAAGTTTAAATTCGAGATCATGCAGACGGCATGTCTCGAAATGATCATTTCCGTCTTCAACGTTTGTAATTTACCATTTTCCTGTTAACTTTCACATCGCCTGATGATGGCAGTACGCCGAAACTATAGTCGCTTTTAACTTTAAAAACTTCAACGAATAAAACTATATGGGGAAGGTTTAGAGATTTTTGATAACATAATATACTTCTCTTCGAATCTAATTAGGGTACATTATTCGTATACTAATAATTAACACAAGTATCTCTATAACCTATAACTGATACTGGCTGAGTGCTCTCGATTTCATTTGGACTTGTACTGACCCCTTCATATGCGGTTTATGAAGGCTCCAAAACGGCGCGAACGATTTGCTCGTCTCCTAGTAGATTGCTGGCCATCAAACCCTGCCTTGCAACACTATAACTGCACAGATATACGTCGTATATCTGTGCTATAACTATACGTTTTTCACCTATACAAATCTTAACTCTTTCCTTAAAATGACTATACTTATGTGGTGAGTTTATTAAATTTATTACCTAAATGTAACAATCTGAAAATAAAAACTTCTCATAAAGCAGGTACAATTTATGGATAAAAAATATTTACTCAAGGATCCAGTGAATATGCATTTAATACTCCAATCTTGATTTTCTATAGGACAATTTAATTCATCTCGTATAGCAGGATGTATTTAAACTGTAGAAAGGTTGCCATATTCTTATTGAAAGGTACAAAAAGAATACAAAACGGTTTTCTCAAAATTCACTCAAATTAAATTTGACGTGTGGTTTCCAGGCAAATTGCGCGCTTATGACAAATGCGCATGCCCGATCAACATGTTTGTGATTTTCAGCGAGTTTGAATTATGATTAAAAAAATGGCGACTGCTTGCAAACAGATTGACATTTAGCAATGCGTTCAGTAAATATGCTTATATAAAAAGCGCAAACGGTTTGCAAACAGTTGGTTCTGGTGAACGCACCCC